GGAAGATCATTCTTGGCAGAAGGCACAGTATGTGCCAAGGCCCTGAGATGGCATGAGCCAGGCCTGTGTGCCTGACAACCAGTGTGAAGGGGGGCTAGGAGGAGACTGACAGCACTAGGGCCCAATGAGAGCAGAGTGGTTCTCCCTTCCCTCTCCCTACACTAGGGCCACGCAAGTGACATCGGTCTGAGCCTCAAGGCGGTAGCCACTCACACTTCAGTTAACAGTTTCCTCTTCTTAAGCTCACTCCTTTCCTTCTCACCCAGCTTCTCGGCCTGTCCACCCCGGACCAGCTGGAGTCGCCGCTGCACCTCATCCTCCACACTGTCCACCTGCAGTGATGATGGGCATGAGGGGCCATGAGGGCCAGGAGCCCACCAATCCACTCACCCGCCTGCCCACAGGGACTCACCACTCGGAACACCCGGGGCCCATCGGCAGTGCTCTTGTCCACGCGGATCCACTTGTTGGACATGGCCTTGCTGAAGCCCACCTTGCCACTAGGCAGTCTCTGAGGAAGCAAGGCTGCAGTGAGGAGGACGTGAGGGCTGCCTTTATCCCATCGCCTCCCCAGGTCCTGACCCCCACCCAACCCCTACCATGAGCTCGCTCTGGGCCAGGCCCTCCGGGGGAACACTGTGAAACACCCGGGCCTCGTGGCTGCCTTCCCGGTCAATCTCCTTGCCCTCGGCAGTAAGCTCCCAGCGCTTGGTGGAGCGCAGTTCAGCTTCGATGATCTGCAGAGAAAAGGGGACACAGGTGGCAAGGACAGGGTTCAGAGTCGGGCAAGCCCTTGCCGCGGCACTGCGGCGGAGGTCAAAGCACAGGCCCTGAAGCTGGTTTCATATCCTGGCTGTACCATTTCTCAGAGTGATGTCCTCTTGCTGAGCCTTAGCTTCTCTTTTGTGACACAGGGATAATAATAAATATGGTTCATAACTCCCAGGATGAGGTAAAGTACTAGAGGTGTTACCTGTCGGAAAACAAATTCTTTCTAACACTTTTGTACCTGGGAAAGATTTTTTGAACTTGAGGAAGACTTTTAAGGTCTCAAGTGAATCAACTGTCTCCACGTTTATACGTTTGTATCTCAGTGCCCAAAGTGTCAGAGGAGGGCCCAGGGGGTCCACATTACACGTGGAAACCTGAGGCTCCAGGATGAGGATGGGTTCAGGTCACAGACAGGGGCAAGGCTGGGTGGGGCCCACAGGTCCTAGTTCCCCATTCAATCTAATTCCCAGCTCTGCTCTTCATTTGCCCTGTGAAATTGAGAAAGGTGCTTAACCTCCCTGAACAAGTTTTCTTATCTACAAGAGTAGAGTGTGGTGGGCTCTATCTCAGAGGATTGTTTTGAGAAGTAATTTAATTCATACACAGAAAGGATGTAGGATGCTTAGCACGCAGCAAAGGCTGCATACATTCTATTACTACTATCATTGTTGTCATTATTACAATCATTGTCATTGGACTGAACCATATGAAGTCGCCATTATTTAATTCTCTGTGAACTACACAAATGTCAATTTCACGTCAATCAAGATACTGTCACCCCACACACCACAGCTTCAATTCCTTTTCCCCACACTGATGACCTTGGTCTCTGCAGCCTGAGTACCTAATTTCTTTCGTTGCTGTTGTCCATGAACGCCTAATTTCAAATCCAGGTTTGCCTGTCCCTTCCAGTGACACTGCAGAGTGGTCACATCTGCTAAATGGGGATAATAACACTGCCACCATCCTAGGATTATGGCAAGGATTAGATGACAAAGCTGAGACCAGAGAGGGGCATAGAACATGAGTTTGATGAATGATCAGCCTCGATCTGTTTTCTGAGATCCAGATTCTAGGTGGCCCACGGGCCCCTCAGTATCCTCCTCCTGTGGCTCTATCATCTTCACTTATCCAAGTCGGAAGGCTGGCCTTCATCTGTGCTTCCCTTACCTTGCCATGAATCTCATTTCATTCCCTCTCCTGAATCACCTCTCTATTCCAGCGGCCTCCCTACAGCCAGATACCATGCCCTCTAGTCTGGGGATGTGCCAGCCTCTGCCCTTGTCCTGTTGCATCCAATCCTCCCTTTGCCAGTGCTTCCCAAGAGTGATGTAAGCAGCACACACCTCTGACTAGCTCCAGCTCCTGCCACGGCTCCCCAGTACCCCTGTGAGAAACCTATAAGGCCTTGTGAATGTTGGCTCTGTAGTCTCTCTCATCACCTGTCCCCCACCACCAAACTGATCCCTGAAGTGTCATGGCTTTCCTCCTCAATGCAAAAACCTGACTTAGCTGCCACCTGATCTCCAAGGCTGGGTCAGCTGTCACCTCTGGGTTCCCTGTGCCTCCATCACTCTGCTCACTCGAATATCTCTCCTACGAGATCGCAATCTCCGTGAGAGCAGCAACCTTGTCTTCCTTGTCCACCACTGTAATCCCCCCAACGTTGACCGTTTCCTGCGTGAGGAATGTCTGTGAGCCCAGGCCCTCACTGGTTCCTGACTTCCTGCCTGTGCACTCGGAGCTGAATATATACAATTACCCCAACCGGGCCTGAGGGAGTCTGGTCTGGAGGGAGGGCCCTCCTGCCAAGGGAACTGCAGGTGCCAAAGCCAGGTGTCCTGGCATCACAGGCGACTCACCTCGCCCAGTGCCTGCAGGCTCTTCACCGCGCCCACCACAGCCTGGTGCTCCAAGCCCAGTTCGGCCGCCAGCTCCGCGCTGTCCAGGCCGCCATCGGCCGCCTCCAGCCGTCGCAATAGCACCTCCGCCACCGGACCGTCCGCCATGATTACTACCAGCACGCTCCGCGTGTCCCGGCCAAGGCCGGAATCACCGGAATCACCGGAACCGGAACCGGCGCAGAAGCGTGTTCCGCCATCTCGAATGTGGCGGACTGTGTTTCAGAGCTCAGGGCGTCGCCATCTTGAGTGTGTCAATTGAACATCAAAGGGTGGGAGGTATTCAGTCCTTGTCTCCGCATTAGTTGGACTACTGGTGTCTGTTTGACCAGAGAGGTCAAATTGATGACCTCAAGGGCAGACAGAATCAGAGCGTTAAGTTTCATCCAGTCCCACCTGCAGCGGGCTGTGTGACGTTGGGCTTTCACCGTCTTTGGGCTTTTGGAGACCTTAATCCTTCTGGGATTCTCTCTTACCCCGTGGAAGGGCTGTGGGTGGTGGGCTCCAGAGATAGTCATTCTGCTGGTGTCAACTACTTTTAAATTTTCAAAGGGGCACTGGGTAGGGACCATCCCCATTTATAGAGGGGAGAGGGCCTCACCTATTAATATAGTCCAAGTAGCAGTTAATCTGTATGGACATCCACCTGTGTGCCCAGCCCACTGTTAAGTGCTTCAGGAGTGTTACTTCATTTTCCCCAGAACTTTATGATGTAATCTCCATTTCACAGATGTGAAAACTGAGGCTCAGAGGGTGATATGATTTGCTCATGGTTCTACAAGAAGCTTGTGGAAATGGAATCAGAAATTGTAAATACCCAAGATCCCACCGGACCTCCCACTCCATGCTCTGAGAAGGTCAATGTCAGGTCAATAATGCATGATTTAAATCAACGTTGGCCTATAGATATATAATATGAGACACAAATGTAACTCTGAATTTCTTAGTACCAATATCAAAAACAAAATGGGTAAAATTAATTTGAAAAACTTAGTAAACCTGACATGTCCATTTATCAAACAATATGAAATTACTAATGAAATATTTTACATTCTTTTTTCATATTAAGTCTTGAAAATCTGATGTGTATTTTACACTTACAGCACACTTTGGTGCAGACCAGCCACATTAAAAATGGTCAGTAGTAGCATGTGGCCAGTGGAGACTATATTAGACAGCACGAATGCATTCTAATCCCTGATCTGCCATTTATGTCACTCAGCCAAATCTCTTAATCTTTCTGTGCTTTGTTTCCTCACCTGGATGGAGAACCCAGGGATTGGTGTCAGGCATTATTCTAAGCAGTATACATTTACTACTCATTTAACCATCGCAATTGTTATTTAAGCCTAGAAAATGGAGTTACAAATATCCCCCAATCCTGATCCTATGGTGAAGTCCTCATTTAAAATATTCAGAATGCATTCCTCAAAATCTCTTCTTTCCTTCAAAGCACTTTCCCCACTTTTTTTGATTTCCTCAAGAATCTTTCCATCATAGATCAAGTAGATTTTAAGCCTGTGCTGCAGGTGACACTGGGGGATGGTGAAGTGAACAAGTCAAGCACAGTGCCTACTCTCAGGCAGAAAGCACCAAACCCCTGTGTCCATGACATTTGGTGAAAGGGAGGGAATGCAGGAGGGTCAGTAGCATGCCTGAAGTGATCACTCCAGACATGGGGCTCTTCCTAAGGGGAACCAGGTTGGGCCATATCCGATACCACCTGGGGAGAGGGGCAGAATCCCAACTTCTCCAAGACTTCTCACACCTCCCTTTTCTGAGTTCCCACCACTAGTGGGGAAGCAACTTCTCCCTATCTTTTTGCCAAGACTCCCCACCTCCCCCACTTCTGCAGTCCACTCCCACATTTCCATGTCCAAGGCTTGTTTGCTCAGAGTTTGGGAAAGCCCCATCCTTCTTTCCTCTTTCCTGCAGACTGGAGGCCGGGAACTGGTGTCGCACACTCAGTCACGTGGCTCTGGCTTCAGAAGACGCTAGACTCAGGGGTCCTGACCCTCTCCTTTAGACCTTATCTTCCCCACCACCTGTCTTTTTTTTTCCCTCCCTAACGGAACCCCCTGCCCTTTGTCTTTAGCCGTTTAATTGCAAAAGTCAGGCCGTTTGTGGGAGACCACAGGGCACAGACCCCTTTCATTTACTGGCTGGGGGTGGGGGGCGGGGCGGGGTAAAGGAGAAGCAGCAACTAGGGAACAACCCGACCCGCCCTGGGAGTCACAGCTTACATTTCACATCTTCGAGCCTTCTGGGCTTCTTTCCTCTGTCCCGGGACATCCTTAAAAACTTTGAAAGCATTTCTGCTGGGCAGCAGCTGCCCTGGGTCTCTTCTCCTGGCCTCTCAGGAGCTCCTGTGACTTCAGAGAGGCTAATCCTCTAGGTTGTCAGGTACTAGGGGCCGCACCGAAGACAAAGCTGGCACTCTCTCCTCTCCCCACCCGCCGGCATGGCCAGAGACGCTGGGGTGAGGAAGCCCATGGCCCCAGGTAGGCTCTGGTGACTTCTGCCTTATCCTAGGGGGTTTGGGGTGGAGGGGAAAGACAGAGACAGACAGCGCGTCGTAGTGAGAGATCCACAAATGCAGGGTAGAAAAAGGCTGGTTAAAGCTTGCCCACCCCTTCCCGCAGAGGGGATGGGAGCTGGTGAGGTTGGAGCCAGGTCCCAGTAATGTGCGGTGACACCTGCGCTCGCGCTGGTTCTTTAAACGCCCAAATCCGGAGATACGCGCGCGGGCGAGGGCGGGGTTGGGCCCGGGCCTGGTCACATGACTTGGTCTGAAGGGCTCGAGGCCCCTACCCCACCGGTGGGCGTCCCCCACAACGCGTGGTCGACCTTCATTGGCTAGCGGTGCGGCCAATAGAAATCGGCCATCTGGGAACCTAGCGTTCCGAGGCACAGCCTAACCTGCTAAGCTGACAAGAGTCCAATGGAAAGGCAAGGCCGTAGCCATTAACCAATGAAAAGCCGTGAGGGGTGGGCCAAGAGGCAGGGCCAGGTTGGTTTGAGGGGGCGGTAGGGTATAAAATCGAGCGGCCAGGGACAGCGTCCGTCCCTGCTGCAGAGCTGCTGTCTGAGGATCTTCTTAAAGGGCCCGCGCGCCGCCGCCCCCTCGGCCCGCCATGCTGCTACCCGTACCGCTGCTGCTCGGCCTTCTTGGCCTGGCTGCCGCCGAACCCGTCGTCTACTTCAAGGAACAGTTTCTGGACGGAGGTAACGTTTGGCCCCACCTCGAGCCCCCTCCCCGCCCACCCCCGACGTTGCGACCGGCTTCCTAGCTCCTATCTGCGTTGTCGCTTGTAATTGGTGCTCTGAGGGCCAACACGGTGGTCTCTGAGGACTAGAGCCGTAGGCGATCTCTCTCTTCGCGTCTCTGGGGAACATGGAGGGCGCAGCGGCCTCCCGCGGCGGAAGTTAGGGTTCGCCCGCGGATCTTTTAAGCACTAGAGGTGTCAAACTAGAGGTTGGGGTGGGGGCACCCAAGGGGGAGATCTCCTTCCTTGTCTGCAGTTCCTGGAGATGTTTGGTGGTGCTGCTGGTTGGAATTACCATAGCCGCGTTGACCTCCTCTGATCCTCTAGATGGGTGGACTAACCGCTGGATTGAATCCAAACACAAGTCGGATTTTGGAAAATTTGTTCTCAGTGCCGGCAAGTTCTACGGTGACTTGGACAAAGATAAAGGTAAGAGCCTGGGATGGGTGATCAGGTCCAGGAGGACTTCCTGGAGGAAGCGCTAGTCACCGCACAGCCTGGGCATTCCCAGGAGCAGGGCAGGCGGAAGCTGGAGGAGTTGTCTGTATGTTTGATCCTTAGGGTCCCTGGGGGTTTAGGGCCAGCTGTGACCTCACTACCATCCCCTGCTAGGGCTGCAGACAAGCCAGGATGCCCGCTTCTACGCCCTGTCGGCCAGATTCGAGCCGTTCAGCAACAAGGACCAGACGTTGGTGGTGCAGTTCACGGTGAAACACGAGCAGAACATTGACTGTGGGGGTGGATACGTGAAGCTATTTCCAGATGGTTTGGACCAGACGGATATGCACGGAGACTCCGAGTACAACATCATGTTTGGTGAGGGGCTCCACCCTGGTGCTGACTTTCAATTAGAGGCAGGCTGAGGACCACTCGAGTTCCTTAATATCCATGAAAAGTGATATTGAGAGCATAGGAAACACATAGTCAGGGTTTCCTTTGAA